GAGAGAGAGATATAATTTAAGACCTGATGGCATTTATTTGATGTGAATGCACCTAACACAGATTTTGGACTCAGCAGCTGTACATAGTTTTAATAGACAAAACTGAACATAACATTGGCCTATCCTAAAAGCTATCAAAAATTCCTTTGTATAATGTGGAGATAGACATCCAAGAGGAATTCTGGAATGAATTATCAAGTATCTCATCCCTTTTCTCACCCTGCCCTTGACAGGATCCTGAAAACACCCCCTTTACCAAAGTCTTGAGACATACTTTGTTGCAAAAGCACTAGGATCATTAAACCATGATTTAATAGGTATTCTCTATAGGTCAAGAATGTTGGTAAAGTATATTTCCTATTTTCAGCAGAGTTGCTATGTTTCCTGTAGGAGGTTGTAACAATGACCCCAGTGTAATTTATGGTAATCAGAATGGATACCAAGATCTTTGGAGGTTAACTAAAGATACGGTCCTAGGTAAATGGCAGAGCACTAAAGTTCAGCTTGATCTGTATTGCCAAAATTTCTCCAGGTTTAGAGATAAATGTCATCAAGATAGAAATGAGGCCCTGCATTCTATTGCCCAACGTGAGCTAGTTCACTAAATGATGGAGAGGACAGGTATCCTGACGAGGGAGCCCTGCCAGTGCATAATGGGTGAGGGATGAGGGTTGTGACCCCAGCCCTTATGAAGTCCCACAACATTGGGTACTTTCTCTTTAAGACAGTTTAAGGTAGCTACAATTTTAATTCTGAATTTCTGTTACTCTTATGTAGAAATTAGCATAAAACTGTTTAGTTTTGTTTACTAATTTTGTAGAGGCTTAAGGAAAGTAAGATGAATGTGGCTTTCTTCTGCCCCATCGTCTCCCCAGTTGGAGAAGGGGTTTCAGCTGTGAGTACCCATCCCTAGTGAAACTGGTAGTTGCAAAGAGACCCAAGACCCTAGAAAACTGTTCCAGAGAGGACAGGAGAAGAGCAGTAACTTTCTGTTTATGCTCACGTATTAGTGAAGGTTGTTCTTTGTAGGAAAAGAACTCCAGTGAAATTCTGGATTATTGGCTCGGCACCTGTGGCTCAAGTGGCTAAGGCACCAGCCACATACACCTAAGGTGGCGGGTTTGAATCCAGCCCAGGCCCACGAAAAACAACAATGACGGCTGTAACCAAAAAAATAGCCGGGCGTTGTGG